TTTGTGCTATGAATTGGTAGGATTCTTCTAAGGCCAATTATCCTTATTCAGGCATAATATTCAACTTAATACAGATCCCTATTTGGTTACTCTGAAATTAAGAAGCATAAATTTATCAATTCCTTACGACTAATTCGCCCTATTCGGTTATGAATTAGATGGACCACAAATTAATCCTAGAATCTCTATTCGATTACTTCTAGTTTTAATATGTTGTGCAATGTTATTCCCATAAAACAATTATGAATATGAATTAGGCAATAAACCCTAACTTTTCTGTTCGAAACATCATCAAGGTAATTGAATCAATCCAACATTCATAAAGCATTAAACCTAAACTCTTGCACAAATTCATAAACATAAATCTGGTATTAAGAATAAAAATTGTTCAAAACATAATTAGGGTTCCATCCTCCCCTAACAAAAGAGATTTACTCCATTCTAAGAACAAAGAAATAAATAGAGAAGAAGGAAAACATATTCAGACTTGAAAATAAACAAAAATCAAACTCTTAAATTTGATCTTCAGTCTTCAAGCCCCAAGAATGCGTCTTCTCCTCTCAAAAATATGCAAAATTTGTCCCTTACAACTAATCTCAATTATACTTAAATACCTAAAAGAGTCCTAAATGAAAAAGGAAAGAAAAACTGATAAAAACACCCTAATAGTTTCCGCCACAACCCTGGCCGTGGCCAAATTTAAGTCACCACAGCCTAGGCCGTGGTGCTTTCTGGTCTCTTTGTTTTATCTTTGTTCCACCACCATGGCCATGGTGAACTACCAAGGCATGGCCGTGGCCTTCAAGAATGTTAGGTAATCTCAACTTCTTCAAGCTTTAAGTCCTAGTTTCATTCTAATACTCCAATATACTCAATCAAAGCCTAAAAAACACAAAAGTTATCCAAATCAATAGGTAACCATTCATATCTCAAACTTAACGAAAACAAACATCAAAACAAAGGAAACAAATGAGAACTTGACTAAACTAACATCAAAACAACCCTAAAAACACTCAAATTATTCAACTTATCAACTCCCCCAAACTTAATCCTTTGCTCGTCCCCGAGTAAAGAAAATATCAGAAAAACAAACTTAACAATCATCAAGGATTCACAGCATTTCCAAAATCAAGGAAAAGAAAGCAAACATGCTTTAAATAATATTCATGCATCCAAACATACAACCCAGCTAATTGTGCAACTCTAATCTTTCCCCAACCCAGTCATGCCTCACCAAGACTTTATACTTAACCCCCTACTTATTTTTCTCTTTTTTTTTTTTCATAGGCTTCTTTAGATTGTCACATCACCTTTTTACGCGAATGCACACATTTGTGATGAATGCCCCCAGTTACTCAGCAATGTCACAACACATAAAGTGCTTTGCATACTCATAATTCGAGCTACAGTTTGACACAAAAGTAAACATGGGGCTCATGAATACTCCTGGTTATTAAGTAGCTCGAAGCAGCGGAGTAGTTCATTCAAAAACAAATAAATAAGCATAGTTAATTTATTTCAAGACTATAAATACAGTTTTTTTTTTTTTTTTTTTTTTTTTTAGGGAGTGAAGACAAGGCTCAGCTAGTACACAACAGAGTCAAGTAATAAACCAGAATTTGCACAACCATCTAGAATGGTATACTCTTCATATCGAAAATAAAATATAGAAACTTCCCTAAAAAAATGATTTTTTTTTTTTATTATTATTTTTTGCGCATGGCCACGGCTGTATAAAATGACACGGGGTACCCTATGGTGAAAGCTGGACTCTGCAAGCTTTTTATCCTTTAACATGGCTACGACTATGTAAAATGACAAAGGGTAGCCTATGTTCTATTCTGCTCAAAATTGTCTTCTTCTTCTATCACTTAAACTTCCCCCAAACTTGTTCCTTGTTCTAACGATAACAAAACAAAAACAAAAACAAAATCAAACAACAATAAAATAATTGTAGAAGAGAGAAAATAGAAAAAAAAAAATTTATAGTTCTAATTTAGAGTTGTTAGCTTGACTTTCTCCGCTTTCTTCATTCAAGAAACTAGACAGATGCAGTGTTTGGATCGAATCGTCCTCCAACATAGTGCTTCAAACGGTGTCCATTAACTTTAAACGTTTCACTTGTCTTTCCATGGCGAATCTCAATTGCTCTAAAAGGTGTTACCTGAATTACCTCATATGGACCCGTCCATCTTGATTTCAGCTTTCCGGGGAAAAGACGAAGGCGACTATTGTAAAGAAGAACTTGCTGTCCTGGCTCGAACTCCTTTTTCACAATGTGCCTGCCATCTCTTTGTCTTATCCTTGTACAAACTAGCACTCTCGCATGCCCAATGACGAAATTCATCTAGCTTACTCACCTGCAAAAGACGTTTAGCACCTGTATCGAGTAGTTTTACCACTTTCTTTCGTACCACTTCTTGCATAGCAGGATTTAATCTCCTTTGTGATTGTATTGTTGGCTTGAAATTCTCTCCCATGAGGATCTTATACATGCAGATGAAAGGGCTTATTCCCTTGATATCAGCAATTGTCCATCTCATAGCCTCCTTATGCTTCCTCCAAATGTCTAGTAGTGACTTCGCCTCCAAATCTGTCAAAGATGCAGAAATAATCACAGGGTAAACATCTTTATCTGGAAAAGCATATTTTAAATGTGAAGTAAGAGGTTTAAGTTCA